ACTAGTACATGTTTGACTACATGTGTCTTCAAACAGCTTTTCAATATAGTGTATTTGTTGTCTAGCCTGGATTCATTTTGAACAGGTTGTCTTCATGGTTAAGCTGTTATCACACAAGTAATAGAACTTATCTTAGAATGTTATTGGACTTGAGAACATGGTTCCTGTTGTATTTCCAGGTGGTAGTGTTGGCAGCTGCTTCAATACAGAATTTTCCCAGAGGGAGCTTAAGTGGAAATTGATTATTTGAGCCTTCGTGAATAAGAAGAGTGATAATTTTCTATTGTTTTTTGTTCTGGTTAGTATTTTGAGATGTCTGGTGAGATGTTTGTGGCACCTAAATGATGTTGAGAGTGGCTGTTTCACTTGTTCAGGAAGTAGATACTTGATACTGGGCAGAAATGCTCTCACGGTGTGTGTGTGCATGTGAATGTATCAATCAGTGCATTCAGGGTGGATTTCCTTAATGTTGTTCAACACGTTCCATGAAGAAATAGCCAGAGGAGAAGGAAAAGAGCTTTTTCTGTTGGAAGACAGGCACAGCTTTCATCAAGCAGGTAGGAAAGCGATCAGTATGATCACTACGCCCCAAATGGTGGAGTGAATGGACCATCATATGGAAGCTGAATTGCTGTGACTAGCACCTAAGGTAGGTGGAGTTTTTGATGGGTTTCAGTTGGTTGTTGTTGATTTCTTTACATGTTTTACTTCAAAGTAAACTTGCGTGCGTATTTGATTAAATGGACAGCTTCTAAAGACATGCTGTGATCAAACCTGTTGTGTGCTGTTCTCTGTGCTCTCTTTGGATCATTGTCTCCTGTGTCTGGATCAGAAATGTGATGGCTGGTTATGTAGTGCATGGAACCATATAAACAGCAGTCCTGTAGAGCAGTCAGAACTGGAGTAACTCTTTGAGCACTGTGACAGAATAGTGTATTTCATGAGGATGTAGTTTCCTTCTCACTGCTGTTGGGAAATGAAGAATAATAGAACCATAGAATAGCTCAGCTTGGAAGGGACCTTAAAGATCATCTAGTTCCAACCCTCTGCCATGCATAGAGTTACTTGAGATTGAACCCAGTTAGTAGGATTATTATTGGTTTGGGATGAGTAGCATTAATTTACAGCATTGCAATGTGTAAGCATTTCTTATCAATTGTATATGGGGAATTTCTATCCCAACTTTCTGCTGCTGAAAGGAGTTACTTTGCTCTCACCACTTTCGTTCTCTCAGCTACACACACATATTTCTCTTCTTGTTTTGGTGTCTTGAATTGGCTCAACAACAACAAAAAAAAGGTTATGCTTGCTTTTCCGTGCTGGTTTAAGCAGCTGAACCCACCTGTGAAGGATTGCTGGAGAACCAGCAAGAGATGGGTACTGGAACTGCTAAGTTGGATGCACAGCATCTGATGGAATTTCACCTTTCAGGAAGCCCTGTGCTGCTGAGCAGGTTTTTTTTGTTTTTTTTTTTTAGGGTATTAGGCTCAAATTTACTTTGCATATGGTTTTTCCCTGTTGCTTCATCACCTAATGCCACTGTTCCATTTGGTTTTGAGGAACTGCATCTTCAGCAGTCATTTAAGAATGAAAGGCAAAATATGCAACAAGGGAGGCTGGTGCTGTGGTTTTTGTTGTTGCTATTCCGAAGTTATAGCCACTGTTTCTGCTTGTTGCTGTTGTCATGTTGGGTAACGAGGAAGGATGTGTTCATTCAATCATGTACATGGACTTAACCAGGAAGGGAAAGCAAACCATATCCTGGCAATTACCTCTTTATATAAGCAGCTCTAGTAGAGCTCTCGTTGAAAGTTACTCCTTATGGAGACTTTGGAAATCAATGATAATTTTCTCAGAGTGTGTAGCTCATTGCTAAATGTCATACAGAATCTTTAATTTATCAGTTCCTCTGTATTTCCATTACAGTAATTACTACAGACATGTTTTGACATCAAGGAGACATCAATTTAAATGTGTGGTAGAGCTGAAGTTAAAATAAACTTTCATTCAAATATCTGCTATTTTTTTTCCTCTTTTTGTCATTTTCCAGCTTAAAAAAAAAAATTATATATATAGCTACCTTCCATAGGTCGTTTTCTTTGTGTGTTCTGCCTCAGCTCTGATGAAAATGCTGTTTCTCCAGTGAAGGCTCTGAGTGCTGCCTCTCAGGCTGTGGGTGCTGTTTTGAGCATTGGGTTAAACCTTGAGGCCACGTGTAACAGAGTTATGGGGAAAAGCTTTACACATTGCCCAAGGGGCAGGCTGAGAAATTTCAAAGTGTCATTATAGGCAGTGAATTCCTCTTCCAACAAAAATAATACATTGTTAAGGTCTTTATTACTAAACAGTTGTGTCTCTTTAATAATACATGGCAAAATGTAAATAACAACTGAACCTGCAACGTTTTTCTTCCAACTTGAGTGTGTTTTGTGTGCTTTAAAACAACTTGCTAGCAATTGTTCCTGTCAAGGAGGACGTCTATCTCCATGCTGGTTCTCAAACTTTCTCCGTGTGCCATGTGGCTTTATGAGTGGAGCAAACTACCAAAAAGCACTGGGTGGGCTAAAAGAGGAGGAACTGGGTTAAAATTTAAGACAGTTATTCACAATTCACTTTATTACATGAAAAAAACAACCTTTACATGATATTGGAGATACCCCACACTGGGAAATGTCAGCTGTGGCATCACAGTGCATGACAGCGTTTGTCAGAGGCAGTGTTTTGTTAGGACTAGCTGGCTGAGAAGAGTGAAGAGTAATGAAATTACTTACTCTGCCTTCAGCAGTCCATCACATCCCTTTTTGTTTCAGTCCTTTCTGGAGGAAATCCAAACCCTTAAAGAACGAATTTCATCCAAATTGATCTAAAATCTCTCTTCCAAAGTAGAGAAGTGGTGTGGTTGTATTTAATATGAACTGTTGGTTCTCATTATGAAGTGATATTTCCAGGCATATAAAATCATCCACCTGGACCAACATTTGCTACCATCGCTGTTACGACATGCTCCAGTTCCAGTGCAGTAACAGCTGCTGGTTTCTCTGAGTTATCCAGTGTTATCTTTGTTATTTGGTGGGTGTGTTTCTGCTGTTCTTGCCTTCTAAAGTGAATCCTTTCCAGTATGTTTTTGCTTCTTGAATCTGAATTAATGGTGAGGAGAGTAATAAAAGTACTGGCCCCCCAGCTGAGTTCTTCAGTATCTCTTAGCCTGCCATCCCACCCCAAGAAAGTCTGTCAGGATTATCCTGAAAGGACGGTCAGGTAAAGGAGTTGGGCAGCAGAGATGTGCTTGAGGTTGAGGTTCCCCCCTGTGGGCAGCAGCACAAATCCACATCTGGGGGAGCTGAATGGTGAGCAGGCACAGCTACTGCGATGGTGAGGCTGGAGGAGTCTGATCCTTTGCTGCTGGATTTCAGCCTTCCTGTGCTAGGTGCTGACGCTGGCAATCTGGTCATTTCTGCAGAGCTGTCAATGACAGCACAGAGATAAAATACCAGATTCTCCATGGAACTGATGCTCACATCTGCTGTTTTATTTCCATGCTCCATTCAAAGCAAGCACAAATAGAATGCTCTTTTATACGCTGTTCGTGAGGGGCATTATTATTTTGGAAACCTCAGAGAACTTCCTCTTCTAAATTCACTTCTAAAGCTCCTTTTCAAAAGGAGGAATGTTGGTGTCAGGATTTAAGGCGCGTTCTGTGATAAGTATACGGTTCAGACAAATCTGGGTTACACCTAACAAACAAACAATACCCTCTTTAATTACTGTTGAAGACATTTTACTTTTCTGCAATTTCATTCAATAGCTAAAGGAAATGTAGTCAGTCCTAAAACTACTTTTCTTTTTTCCAGGCAGTCTGCCTCTCTTTGGGGTGAGAGGAAGTATGTTTCAGTGTGAGCAGAATGCTAAGTAAAACTCATCTTGACTAATATGTACCTGCAGTACAGGCACCTGCAATTAAAGCACAGTGCCCTGCATTGAAAATGTACTCATTTGTGCAAGAGGAAGTCAGATTTCACTACTGTGAGGAGCAACACGGAGACTCAAATACCAACATTAGAAGGAAATCTGATTTCCTAGGAGGATGCTTCCAGATGTGGACACCACTTCAGGGCAATTAGATGTGTGTGCTTTCCCATAGGGTCTTCCCTGTGAAGCATGGCACTCATTGCAGCCATATGAATGCACTGGGGCTTTTGGATCCTGTTCTGGTTTAGTAATGCTGTGGCTGCACTGTTGCCCAGAAGGTTTTTTTTACTCCTGTTCATTTCAGGGTTAACTAAGACCACAATTTCGGAGAAGTCATTGCTAGGGCTGCTATCTATTGAATTTGTTGGGAAATGCAGGCAAATTTCTCTTTAAATCACTGCCTACAGCTGAGTTAACTTGTCTGTAGTGTATTATTTTATTGCAAATACAGAATGTGAAATATTTTTTTCTCCAAACGTGTCCACTCGTAGTACATTGAACAGCATCAGGGTGTTGCTGTAGTCCCTGTGCCTTTGCATTGTTCAAGCTTTAAGTTAGTACAGGTTGAAGTTCATCTAATCTAAGTGTAGTCTATTTAATCCTAATGGACGACCCTTTCTTCCTTGGTACACTTCTGCTCTGCAGGACGTTTCAGGAATTTCAGAATAGCAGAAGCTCTTCAACTTCTTTAGCATCTATTATTAATGCATTTAGTATCTATTATTTACAGGATTGCAGTGATTTCTTTGATGCTTTTAGTAAAATTAAGTTTTGAGACTGCAACTGTATTTATTTATATGTCAGATGTTCAAGATTGTTGTGAATTGTAAGGTCTACACTTGTGTTTAATCAATAGAAGTTCTTATCTGAGGTTCTGCCCCTTTTAAAAAGCAGATGGTCTGTGTTTGACCATCATTAATGGTAAATAGCCTTCAAATGGCACACCACAAGTATGTTCATTTATATAATATTTATAATATATTTACATATATATTGATTTTTAAACTCTTTTATTGTTGTTTTTCATACAGGGAGAGAATTTTAAAGAAAAGCCACGGGCATCCCTTGGCAAAAGTAAAGCAGAGGAAAAAGCGAAAAAGAAACAAAAAAATGAAGATGACAGAAATCACAAAGCAGAATTTAAGCGGAGCGGCTCGTCTCACTCCAGACAACCAGGAAACATCTGAAAGTGAGGGGGATGACTCGGAAGAGGAAAACAGAAAGTCCTTGTGTGCATCTGGGGAAGGTGCTGAGGATCCCGTGGGAGGTTGTGAGGAGCAGCCGAATGGTGATAAGGAAAGCGGGACAGAAGCTGTGAGCTCTCCAGTCACAGAGATGTCAGCTGTATCCAATGGGGTGCTGACACATGAAGTGCCTGCAGAAAGTGACAGCTCACTTCTAACGGATAAGAAACCCTTTTGTACTGGAAGCACGACCAAAAACGTGTTTGATGATGAGGAAGTGAATCAAAAGCATAGGGAAAATCTTTGTAAGAGCAGTACCCTGAAAGTAAAGAATGATGGAAGTTGTATCCAAGAAGCAGAATGCAACTGTGAAGGTAACAGCCTACTGTCCAGCATAGAAAGCAAAAGTACATGTGAACCTGACATGGAAGCTGAACAATTACTTTTAAATGGTGAAGAAAAAGAAATATCTCTCTGTCACAATTCCAAAGTGCATTACAACGTGCCTGGTAGTAACACAGACAATAAAAGCGCAGTGAAAACAGAAGAGAACTGCTCTAATGCCTGGGCTTTTTTTTCAATTAATTTATCTACTGAGGAATTACAGCAGGGTTTTGATGCACAACTTTCTTCTTCTTGGTCTGAGGATAAGTTGGTAGGTGAACAAAGACAGAAAAAAGCGAGGAAGCCCAAACAGATGTGCACCAACAGTTCAGCAAAGATGAACTGCCTCCAGCACAGTGAGAGACTGGTAAAGGAGAACCACCAGGAAAAGGTGACTGAGAAGGCAGGTAATACACAGAGCAATGGTGTGTTGGCATCTTTGCCTGCTGAAGTGCACGAGGTTTCACTTGTGGAACCCAGGAGCACCTCCACGCACTGTTCAATGCCAGTAAATGATGCTGCACCAGTTGCACCAAAGAGAAAAAGGTACAGAAGAATAGTCAACTTGGCACCCAAATTTAATCTGCCCAGAGAGATTGCTGGTGGTACGGAGGGAAGGGAGGAACTCCCACTAAAAGGTGATGGTCCCTCAGAAAGTGTATTAGAAGTGGAGCAAAAGGGCTTTCTGCAGCAGGACCGTGGATTGGGGCGTGAACAGAACCTGGTGTTTCAGGAGTATGCTGCACCATACAGTGGCCCTGAGGCCTCCCATTCCTTGCCCACCCCTCATGTGGATTCCCCCTTACGAGCTATTTCATATTTTCATTTGGGAAGGTCTTCTCCAACACCAAAGTATTCTTGTAGTGTTTGTGTGATTTCCAGAGCAAAGGAGGAGCGAGCTCAAACTCCAAGGGAGCATCAGGCAGTTGGTAACAAAGATGAAGGTGAAATCTCCTCAGATGTCATAAGCAGCCAACCAGATATTTTGTCTTCTGTTCAAGCTGTTTCTGAATATGCAGAAGATCCGAGCATCTTGGAAAGGCGTGTTGCAAATGTGCACAAAGCAGATGGCCCTGAGCCATCAGCGGCCTCTCCACCCGCATTTAAACAAGATGTGAATATGAAAACCAGCTTCCTGGGACTTCCCTTATCCATAGGATTTGCTTTTCAACTTGTGCAGCTCTTTGGTTCTCCAGGTCTTCCGCTGGGTAATGCTCTTCTTACTGCTGCTGTGTAAATACGTGTGTGTGATTAAATGTTCATTTTGACTGCAGGTAACAGTGAATGAAATAGCAACCCTACTGAAAGGAGTCGCTGCTGCTTTGGTGAATTTCTTTCTTTCTTTTTCTTTTTTTAAAGCATCTTTATCTCCAAGGCCATTGGGTTTGGCCTCACCCTCACATTCTCTGGAGTGAGGCTGACTTAGCAACTTCAAATCCGAAGCTCTTGATGTGAATACATCATTCTCAGAAAGGCTTTAATTTGTTGATTATGAAACTAAATGGAAAAATGGATGCTCTTATATAAAACCTGCATGTTTGATTTTTATTTTTATTTTATCTGGATGATGGTAGCATATTCTCATAAGCAAAGAAAAAGGAATAAGCCCTAATGTGGGGTTTATTCATAAATCCTAATGTGGATTAGATACAATTGAAAACCTTTTCCAGAATCTCATTTAAGTTCCACTTACAGGATGCATTTTCAGATATTCAGTACTTTCTTTTTAATCACACATGACTGAGTGTCATAGTGCTGTGTTTGCCTTCTGGAGCTCTAGTTGTCCTATGCTTGTACTTTCAGTTCAGCACATTAACTTACTCAGAAGCACCATCAGTGCTCGGAGGAGCAGTTTGTGGCAACTGTGATTTCCAGATCACTGCCAGCTGGCCGCACAGAGCTGCAGTCAGCAACAATGGGCATGTTTGGGAATCACTGCAACACACTGTGATGGGAAGAGCTGCCCATGGCCGCTGTGTGTAAGGGTCTGCAACTTCTTTGGCCTAAACTTAGCCTGTGAAAAAAGCAGTAAGATTGATTTGGCAAACAGATTTTAAAACACAGATGAGTTGTTGAGCCTGTACACCTGTCTGCTTCAGTGGAATTGAATTTAACCAAAAAAGCAGAAAAGCAGCTTATGTTCTGTCTCTGTGCCAAAACAGGCATGCTGATTCTTTGTTTTATCATACAAGCTGATGGCAGTGTTACCTGCCAGAACAGTGATGGCAACCCCCTGGCAGCACTGCTGGCCTCTCGATGTGTGCCCAAAGAACCTGCGGTGCTGCCTGACCTCAGTTTGGCACCAAATCATGTGCAGGGTTAAGCACAGCCAGGAACAATTGGGGTTGTCTCAACTACTACAGTATCTAAGCTTGGCAAGCACTAATGTCTGTGGTCTTGATTGCCAGCATCTAGGAGGGACTGGAGTTGGCCATGACTTGAAAGAAGTGATCGGCCAGGGGGATGGCAAACAGAACAGGCATCCCGAAGCACTCAGCTGTTGGGTGCAGTGAATGTCATTCTTCTGTGAGTGAGTTTCTGGGTGTTCAGATTGTTTAGCTTGGAGAAGAGAAAGCTCCGGGGAGACCTCATTGTGGCTGTTCAATACGTGAAGGGAGCGTATAAACAGGAAGGGGAACGACTGTTTACAAGGGTGTATAGTGACAGGACAAGAGGGAATGGTTTTAAACTGAGACAGGGAAGGTTCAGGTTAGATATTAGAGGAATTTTTTCACACAGAGGGTGGTGACGCAGTGGAACAGGTTGCCCAAGGAGGCTGTGGATGCCCCATCCCTGCAGGCATTCAAGGCCAGGCTGGATGTGGCTCTGGGCAGCCTGGTCTGCTGGTTGGTGACCCTGCACATAGCAGGGGGTTGAAACTAGATGATCCTTTTCATCCCAGGCCATTCTATGATTCTATGATATGATATTCTATGGTATAATATTGTAGATGAGTTTCCTTTGGAAACAACCTTTAAGGAATATAAACCCCTCTGATATCTCTGAGCTCTCCCCAGCTTGTGATTGCTGTGGGTTTGTTTTCTCCTCAAAAGTGTGAATGCTCCACAGAATGCTGACTGTGTTCTGATTCAAACGTGTTTTTCTCACAACTTCAGAAGTTCTTGTGCTTTTTTTGTGGTCAGCTGTGTAGTGATAGGCTGTTTATTGGCATACACGTAGAACTACAGAATGCTGCAGGCAGGGTTGCCAACCACTCCATCAGGCAGTAGAATCTGTGAGTGATAATTGCAGACAATTTTTGTTTAATAATTTTGGAGGGAAAAATTGTGGTAATTGTCCTTGGATATCTATAAATGAAAGATTAAGTTGATTTACTTGCTTGGCTGTTTCTCTTATAAGCACAAAATATATTTTAGACTGCTTTTCCATGAAGAATCTCTTTTCAGCTCCTTGAGAAGTGAAGAGTTTTTGCAGTTAAAACATACTAGAAAGTAATTTATTGGATAATATTGCAGTGCTTCCTAGGAATGAGCATTTTAAAACGTGGAGTCTGTTACAGAACCGCGTTTTGTTGCATTTATGGGCTGAGAGCTTTCTGTTTTTGTTTGTGCTGTGGTTCAGGGAGTGTGGGGGAAACGAAAGTCTTCGCATAAAAAAAGAAAACAAAACCAAATCTTTTTTCCCTCCCCTCCCCTGGTCTTTGGTAAATGTCAGTTTTGGCTTTGCTGCTGGCTCATGCAGGCATTAGCAGAAATGACAATGCAGTGATATACTTCAGCCGTGAAGAGATGCGAACACTCAACTGCAAAAATATTTTCTTCTGCAGAATCCTTGTTGCCAGATGATTATGTAGTTCCTCTTGACTGGAAAGTTTCAAAGATGATCTATTTACTGTGGAAGACCTCTGTGGAGGTACGAATTTTAGGGGATTTCGGAAGGCTTTGCAATATTCCAGGTGTAAAGAGAAATCACTCAGTTCATGAAGCAAGGTTCTACTCTTTGCTAGCAAACTCTCCTTTTTTAATATCCACAATGAGGAGATGGGTGCTGTATGTACACTTCTGGGTATTTCCAAAACCAGTTCATGCCATGGGAGGATCCAGATTTTGGAAGTTCAGCTTCAGAAGTACGTACAAAGTAGCTGTGGGGGATTAACAAAACTTATAAAGTTTCCTTGATCTTTCTGATCTGGCCTGTGATCACTAAATACAACGCACTGGATCTAATGTCTTCCTCCTCATGGTTTTCTCCCATCATCTGAGCAAGTGCCACCCTCTGCAAACAGCAGCAACTTCGTGGCTACTCCTGCCATGACCAAAGAGGTCACAGAGTGACTGATGGCAGCTTAACTTTCCTTGTCTAATTAGAAATCATGACTTACAAATTACTCCTGTGCTGCTTCCCACTGCTGCTTTGTAAAGGTTTGATCTTACTTGAGGAGCAGTGGAAATGAGGAAAATCCTGCAGGTACAATGACATAGTAATCTAAAATAGAACACAGATTTTGTTCTCTCCCAGAATAGCAAAATCTCTTGTCACATACTCTCTTTTTCTCTGGACTGTTGTTATGTATTTCAGGAGAAGCAGAAAGCAAATGGGTTGCAGAGTGGAAGTGCCTTGGCTGGTGAGTGTATTTTGTGATACAGAGCTGGTATAAAATATTTGTGGGGAACACGGTTAATACTGAAGTGAAATATGCCAAAGATTTTCAGCACGAAAGAGTGGTAACACTTCTCTGTGCAAAAGTAGTAAGATATTGTAGAGTGGTTTGGGTTGGAAGGGACCTTTAGGATCATCTTGTTCCAACCCTCCTGGCAGATGTGTGCCTCCAGTGGTTGGGTAGGTAGCATGGCAGAGCTGCTGCCACTTCTCCCGATTGACATACTGAGACTCTTTGCATTTTAGTTTCCTGTATACAACTAATCAAATACTAAATTCAAGTTTATCTGATTCCAGATCAGAAAGAAATGTAAGATGAAAAAGCTTTTCTTTAGGTTTTGTTCCTCTGAAAAGCTGAGCGCCTTCAGCTTAACGGTCAGCCTGACAACAGGTTGGGCCCTCAAGCAGCAGGAGGCATTGAGGTCCCACAAGGTGCTCAGGACTTCTGTACACATTAATTCTGCACACATTAATTCCTGCAGCGTGCAGCTACAGAATCTGGTTATTGATTGTTTGGTTCCTTATTTCTGTATTAGTTTAGTGTAATTTAGAATAAATTGTGCAACAAGATTAAAATACAATAGTTGGTTGCTGGAAGCTGTTAGGGTTTGTTGCCTGAAATAGGAGAGTTTGTGGGGCAGCAGAAAGAGACAGAAAAGGAAGGTCCTTAGAGAGCTGAAAGGAAGCAGAAAAGCAGGATTTATATATATGTGTACATGTAAAACTGATGTGTATATTTATATATATATATATATATATGTTATCTCTGACAGATGTGTATCTATATTATTTAAACCCAAAATAATTAGCTTATTTGTGAGGCCATTTAGGAAGCAGAATCATGAGCATTCTGATGAGATAAAAGCTTGTTCTAGAAACAGTCGATTCTGATACAAATTATCATGAATATACTATTCATGATACAAATTATGTAAGATAACTTCAAGTATTTTTAGCTGCAGTTTATAATTTGTTTATTTTTTTTAGCTGATGTTATTACCCTTGAAGATCTAAATGAAAGTCACCACGAGAATGAAGACTCTTCTGAAAAGCTGCCAGAAATGTCTCCTGGGGTGATGGAAGAGAACACCGCAACCTCTGCCAGCAGTGGCTGTCTGGGTGCTGTCCTTCATCAGTAGTGGGAGAACACCTTAATTAAAACAAAAAACTGCATGAAGGAAAAGGTAATCAGTCACACCTGTAAATGTGCTTTATTTCTGGTTTTAGATTTGTCCAAATATCTGAAGAACATGGGTTATTATGTTTGTTGAGATGCATTAAGCATCACCCAATTTACTTCTTGTTTTCTTCAGATAAGGATTGAGATTGGATTTCTTTTGTTTGTTTTGATATTTTGTTTTCTCTTTTGTCTTTTTGTGAGGTGGAGGATTGTTGGCTTTTGTTGGTCTTATTTGGTTTTTAAGCCTAAGTGGGAAAGAGTGGGCAGCACTTTGCTATTAAAGTCCCCTCTTTTTTTCCCTGTCAGAATCTAAATTCTGCCTGGTGAAGTGACAGCAATGGTGTAGGATGCTTAGCAGCTGCACTTTGTTGCCAGCTTAATTACTGAGGTGAGCTGGTGTGATTCATGTCACCTCTGTGCTATATTCCTGATTTGTTGAGCAGTTGAGAGTAAACATTTGAGAGTGCCCAGGTAGCCAACAAGCCCAAGGACATCCTGGCTTGTATCAGCAACAGTGAAGCCAGTGGCACCAGGGAGGGGGCGATTCCTCTGCACTCAGACTTGGTGGGACCACATCTCGAGTGCTGTGTTCGGTTTATCACTCGCTACAGTTGCCTGAAAGGAGGTTGTGGTGAGATGGAGGTCAGCCTCTTCTCCCAGGTAAGAGTGGTAGAACAAGAGGGAGTGGCCTCAAGTTGTGCCAGATGCTGTTCAGGTTGGATATTGGGAAGAATTTCTTCTCAGGAGTGGTGAGGCAGTGGCGCAGCTCCCCAGGGAGGCGTTCAGGAGCCGTGTGGACGTGGCACTGAGGGACGGGCTCAGTGGGCATGGTGGGCTGGGCTGGCGGGTAGACTTGGTGCTCTTAGAAGTTTTTTCCAACCTTAGTGATTCTATGGTCCAAATAATTATTGGCTAAATGCTATTTAATTTTTAGTCAGATGACCATGACTCTGTATTGTTCCATGAGGCTGTTTTTGTTGAAATGAGAGTGGACAATGTTTGTGTTTCACCGAGAAAACACAGAGTTACTCTAAAGTAGTTCTGAGAGCTCTTAGAGCAGCATGGGCAGCACATCAGTATTTGTTGTGGAGATTAGGCAAGAGATCCTGATTAATAATAATAATAATAATAAAAATGCTGAGATCAGTGAAAACAGGGTGGTATTTTAGTGCCTAAAAGCTCTTAGACCGGAAACTCCCATTGCCAGATGCCGATAGAATTGTAGAGCAAGCTGACAAAAGCTGATAGCAGTTTAAGCATTTATCTGCATTATTATTACAAAATAAAGGCATGTTTTTACTTGAGGCATAGCATTAACTCCCTACAGGAACACATCTTCTAGGACAGCCCCACGGGGTTGTTGTTTGGGTGAGACAAATCTCCTGATGACATGTTATCAGTCCTCCTTTCCTGGCCGTGCTATTGCTGGCGTCTCCCCTTGCTGGATGCAGTGCTTCTGCAGCTAGACTGAAGCTGGGTGAGCTCACCTCAACACACATGCCAAAGGGATCTGCCTGAACTCTCATCAGGCTTGGATGAATTGTCATCCATACAGTGCAGACTTGCTTTGGTGTGCAGAACTCTGCGCTTGAGACAATGCTCCAACTTCTCTGGCTCTGCCCAAGAGATGAGGCAGCAAAGAATCACCTGAGAGTGAGTGTGAGATGACTGGCAGCCAGGTCAAATCAGTGATGATGAATGAGAAGTGACAGGAGGGGTGAAATCCTATCTCCAAGGGCATTGATATTAAAACATCTTGTATTTGATGCAGGAGATTAAGGAGTCGCAGGTGTGATGGTGGCAAAAGCAAGGTTGTCCTTGGAACTGAGCAGGAAAGAGAAGTCTGAGCAAGTTTCCCAAATGTAGATAAAAGGAAAAAAGTATATTTATGCCTGAACATTGAGAATGGATTTGTGACACTGCTCCTCTTACTGTGAAAAAGTAGGAATCATAAAAATTTGACTACTATTACAACTTGGTTTTAATTCTCACTTCCTTAAATTAAACATTACTCAAGAGCTGGCAAAAAAGATGATCTCATCTCCAGTTCCTACTCACAAATTCCTTTTTCAGTGTTTCTTGTGTTTTTAACTTAAACAAATACTAAAGAGAATACCAGTTAAATACCTGAGAAAACCAGTTAAAGCATGTTGTTAAGTGAGTACCTGGTACTTCATGTGTTGTCACAATAAATGAAGAGCTTCAAGAAGATCTGAGAACTGGAACAAACAAGGCTGCAAATCTGGTGCTTCGCTGATTCCTCGCTCTTTAGGCTGGAATGAAAAATGATCTGAAAAATACAAAGCAAATTAAACCAGTTCTCCATTAATGGAACAGAAGATGCTATAGCCTTCCAGGGTCAAACTCTTCCAGTTGTTATTTTGCTACAGGATATTAAAAATCTCTATCCTTTGATATGTAGCATGAAACAGCACCCAGAATTGTGACCCAAAACCCTCACCTACCCTTTCTAGAGCTTTCCAGGAAAACATGGCCTAAAACTTATTTAAGGAGAGAGCATAATTACCAGTGGGGAATAAGAGGAAATAAAAGACATGAGCGGGGAGGGTGAGGGGGGATTAAATAGGAAATAAAAATTAAAAAAAAATTAAGTGTCCACTGTGTTACTCATCTCATTCTTTTTTTCAGCCTTGTGATTGCTAAGACCTTGTTAGCTCTAATTTTGACATCAAGATTTTCTTCTTTTTTCCAATTTTCTTTTATTTTTTGATTTTTTTTTTCCCTGCATTTTCTCTTTTCTGCTTTTCTCTCTGTTCCTTTTCAGTTATTACAAAAAGTGCCAACAGCTGAGTATGAGAGAGAAACAGGCTTTGTAAATCTCAGATAGGTGAATTCTTTAGTCCAAAGGTCAGATTTGCCGCAATTGAAGTCTGCACTATTGTGGTATTCCAACAAAATCTTTTCTTTCTTTTGTTACAGAAACTTCACTTTGATTCCACCATGAGAGGACTTCAGTTTGCAACCAAGGATTTCAAATGTAAGGAGCAACCTGGAAGAAAGTAACCAGTATCGATTTCTGGTGTGAATCTGCAGTAATCTTTTTTTTCCTCCCTCAGTATCAACTGCTTTATGCACAATAAAAGTTGCAATTGAGATATATATACATGTATGTATGTAAGTATTTTATGTGTGTTAAAAGGTCGCTTTCTGAAGCCGGTTGCAATGTACATGTACATCTTAATGAGCGCAGTGAGGCTTGAATTTTTGTATTTAATTCATTTGTATGAGGGCCCCAAATGTTGCCGCATGTATCAGAACATGAACAGTGTGCCAGTGGTCTCATCCTCTTTCTTCCAGCCCTCACTGCATGTCCTGTTAGTTAGTATTAATTTCCAATCTCTTCATGTCAAGCTTCACCAATGTCTGCTACCCCTTCTTTCATCCCAAGGTGCGCAGCCTGTGTTGTTTTCTCCCCTGCGGCTCCTCTTCTCCATGCTGAACAATCCCAGCTCCCCATCAGACTTGTGCTCCAGACCCCTCACAGCTTTGTTGCTCTTCTCTGCACACACTCCAGGGCCTCGATGTCATTCGTGCAGTGTGGGGCCCAGAACTGAACACAGCGCTCGAGGTGCGGCCTCCCAGAGCTGAGTACAGAGGGCCGATCGGCTCCCTGGTGCTGCTGGCTGCGCTGCTGCTCATCCAAGCCAGGCTGCCATGGGCCGACTTGGCCGCCTGGGCACACGGCCGGCTCGCGCTCTGGCTGTCAGCCGCCACCCTCAGCTCCCTGTCGCTCCCGCAACTTTCCGTCCGCCCCGCCCAAGCCTGGGGCGATGCACGGTGTTGTGACCGGGAGGGGCCGGGCCGGACCCCACCAGCGCCCGCCTCCTCCTTCGGGGCCGGGCGCCGTGCCGTGCCGAGCCGCTCCGAGCCGAGCCGTATGGAGGAGCAGCTGCTCCGCGCTCTGGGGGGGCTCAGCTTGCAGCCCCCGCCCCGCCGCTCCCCGCGGCGCTTCGGCAAAACGCTGGTGCTGCTGCGGGGTCTGCCGGGCTCCGGGAAGAGCACGCTGGCCAGGTAAGGCCGTCGTCCTCTCCTCGGAGCTTTGCGGCCGCACCGGAGCCGCAAACGTCGCGTCTTGGCAGGGGCCCTTCCCTGGCGGGGCCTCGGCTGTGCCGGCGGAGCCGCGATGTTTGTTGCGCCGCGAAAAGCAGCGGACGAGCGCTCCTTGCGGTTGATCGCGGGCGCTGAAACGCTTCCTCTTGTGACGGGGCAAACCGGCACGAGCTGCGGCTGCCGCTCCTCTGCTGTCCGAGCCCCGCTCGGGGCACCAGCGGTTGCGGTACGGGCAGAAGAGGCTGCTCCGAAACCGGTCCAAAATACGCGAGGATACTTTGAGCAGCGTCACCCAGCGCAGCCCCAGTCCGCCGTCGCGTAGGCGACTGCCTCGCTGCTGCCAGCGCCCGCGCTCACCCTCAAAACGGAGACGTTTCCTGGTGCTCACAGCACGGCCCTCTGCATTGCCTTCCCTGGCAGCCTGTTCTCGCGGCCGGCAGCCCTGCACCAGCAGAGCGTTGGAACTGCGTGATCTTAAGGTTTCTTCCAACCTGAGCCGCTTGGGCTGTGGGCTTCCTCCAGGTCCGGGCATTGAGGAGCCCCGTGCTCGTTATCACAACGTTCTGTGGTGCGGCAAAACGGCCAGACTGCAAAAGGTGGGAGCACAGAGAGTGAGGCTGAACCTGCAGCTCCTTGTCTGCAGGGCAGCCCCTTCTGTAGAACGGGGTCTTCTGCCTTACAGGCGGCCTGCAGGATCGGGTTCTGAAGTGAATGTCCACAGACTGTAGTTTTTGAGAAGGTCCAACTGCACGTCTGTTCTTAAAGAGATCATTTAAGTGCAGGTCCCATCACTGCCAGAGGAGTTTGGGTTTTCTCGTAGTACAGACTGAATGTAATGATTCGGGGGTGTATTCTCAACCAATGCAAATAAATGACTTTTTTTTTTAATTTATTAATTTTTTAGGTCAAAATATGAGATTAATTATTAATGAGAAATTTGCAAAATGAATTGTAAGCATTGCTTTAGTCCTATATAAGATGAGTGCTTGAGATACCTGTTCTGCACTTAGCTCCATTGACTGTGTTACTGCAGGATGGGGCTCAGAGGGCAGCTGTGAGAACTGCACTTAGCACCTCTCCACTAGCACTGCCTAGGTTTTGAAAGGTCTGTGCCAAGAAAGTGCTGCTGTTTGCTTTTCCCACATCCCACATTGTTTGCTGCAATGTACTGAGCAGAAATTTGTTTCTAAAGAACTAAACTTTCTAAAATCAAACTAAAATTAAATTAAATTAAATTAAAGCCCCCATCCCTGGAGGCATTCAAGGCCGGGCTGGATGTGGCTCTGGGCAGCCTGCTCTAGTGGCTGGCGGGCCTGCGCGTAGCAGGGGGGTTGCAACTAGATGTTCATTGTGGTCCTTTTCAACCCAGGTCATTCTATGATTGTCAATGATTCTAAATTAGTACAACAAGCTCAGTGCACGATCCTGCACGAGAGGAAAGGCGCATCAGAGTACACTGCACAAGTGGTCTGGCTGAAATCAGAAGGTACTTGCAGAAGTTTCCCATGGCAGTCCATCTGCTCTGGGCTCAGCAGAGTACTGGTGTGTGGGTGAAGGACACATCTCCCAGCTTCACTGCTATTTGTTTAGCAGTATATGCCATTGTTTTAACCTTTGCTCTGCTGTTTCTTCTGCTGCTTTCACACAGATCCCCATTCATTCATTATTATCAGCCAGAATTTCTGTTGTAAGCTGTACTTTACAGCACTCAGAAATGTCATGAGCCATGAATGTTATCACTGCTGATACCTCGACTCACTGATAGCTCCAGCAGACTGTTCCGTTTTCACTCTGTCACTTCAGAGCATTTTCCAGTGGCAAGCTGGGGCTGATGACTTGATTCCCACACATTTCAGCATCACTTAGCACTGGTTGGGTACAGCTCTGTGAGATGTGATCACAGTGTCTGTGGAAACAGTTTCCCCATCCAAGTCACTGTACCAGCTCAGAGGAGCTGGCATGGCATTGGGACTGGTCAGTTCTGGTCTGTTTTTTTTGTTGCTGGTAAAGGCAGTGAAGGAGCCACCTGTGATACATTCAGTAATCAAGGCAGAATGAGGATTTATTCTGCTCACTGGCAAATTTCAAATCTTTCCAATTACTTCACTATTAAGGATATGCTTTCCTGAACCTCCTATTTATTAGGTTTGCCCCACTGGCTCCCTTAGCTGTTCACCACCAGCGTGGGAGAAGAAAGAGAGAGAGGGAGTTACATTTCCAGGAGCCTCTGTCAGATGTGAGTAATGTCCTCCACATGGGTACGTTCCTCCCTGACTTCACAGTACATGTTTTATGATCAAATCAAGGCAAGCTCTAAGAAAACAGTTACCTGAGGTGCAGTAGTGGGTACAGCTTCCAAAAACATCTCCAGAAATCAAGTCACATGCAAGTTCTTATCTGCTTCACAATAGAGTCTATTTGGGCTGGAAATACACAACTTGTGCAACGTATTGAGCAGTTTCACTCAAGCACTAGGCTGGGAATGATCAAATATGCAACTTCTAAGCCACTGCTGTTTATTTATCACTTGAAATGGGGGTCATTCTTGTACTCCACTATGAAGTGCAGAAAGAATGGATCCCAAACAGATGACAGAGAAACAAAAGGTGAAAAGTACATTGGCACTGAAGCATCAGTGCTTGACATAAGCTACATCTTCTCCAGTTTTGTAGAATCTTACATGCATGGAATGGTTTGGATTTGAAGATATCTTACAGCCCACCCAGCCCAACTCCTGCCATGGGCAGGGCTACAAACCACCATTTCAGGCCGCCCGGGGCCCCATCCAGCCTGGCCTTGAGTGCCTGAAGGGATGGGGCACCCACAGCCTCTCAGGGCAGCCTGATTGCGCTCTGAGTAAAGAATTTTCCTCCTAACTTCCAAGTCTCTCCTCTTTTACTTTAAAACTATTCCTCCTTCTGCTATCACTATTTGCCTGTGTACAAAGTTGGACTCCCTCCCATTTATAAGCTCCCTTTATGTGCTGAAACGCTACAATGAGGGTTCCCCAGAGCCTTCTCCAGGCTGAACAAGCCCAAATCCCTCAGCCTGTCTTCACAGGAGAGGTGCTCCAGCCCTCTGATCATCCTCATTGCCCTCCCTGGACCCACTCCAACAGCACAGTGTCATTCTTGTGCTGGACTCATCCCCACATGGGGACTTATGAGGGCAGAGCAGAAAGGAACAATCCTGTCCCTTTCCCTGTCCCTGCTTGCCAACCCTCTGTTGATGGAGCCCAGGATACTGTTGGTTTTTTGGACTGCAGGAGCACACTGCTGGCTCATGTCCGGCTTTTTGTCCACCAGAACTCCCAGGTCTTTCTCCACAGAGCTTCCTATAACTTTACATATGAGTCCTTCTCCCAGTTTGTACATACATCTAGGATTGCCCTAAAACTTGCTCTATTCTTCCTTGCTCCTCCAGTCCCTTTTTCAGCCTTGCATTTGGTAAGATCTTGAACCAGCCTGGCTTGCCACCAGGATCCCAACTTTACTGCAGAACTGCAGCTCTGTCGCTGTTTGTGGACTTTGCTTATCAGCTCTGCAGCTCCTGCTTCCAGCTGGCAACACACTACTGCAAACATACAAAATGCTGATGTTTTGGGTACTTCTCTGCAATGTGTGACATGCAGCCTGTTGCTCTGCAAAATGCAGCTGCTGCTCCCAACCCCATGAGCAAGGTGTGGACACCCCGTCATGCGGCTCGGCAGCCGTGTGCCAGGCCAAAGTCCTCAGGCTGCCAGGAGTTGTCAAAACACGGCAGGTTGTGCTCTGCTCCTCCTATTTCTGATTTTTATGTTGAAAGTGCCACAGGAAAGCTCTGTGTAAGGAAGAGTGACCAGAACAACTAGCTGTGCGTGGTGCTAGTACTTAGGGTCCTTGAGTACTGTGTTGAGTTCCTTGCTACAGGAAAGACATGGAGGCCCTGGAGTGTGTTTAGAGAAGGGCAACGAAGCTGTGAAGGGTCTGGAGCACAAATCTTACAGGGAGCAGCTGAGGGAACTGGGATTGTTCGGTTTGGAGGTTCAGGGGAGACGTTATTGCTCTCTGCAGCTGCCTGCAAGGAGGTTGAGGTGAGGCTTCTCCAAGAAACAAGTGAGAAGACGTGAGGAAATGGTCTTAAGTTGCATGGTAGGGGTTTAGGTTGGATGTTAGGAAAAATTTATTCACAAAGAGTGTTGTGAAGCATTGAAACAGGCTGCCCAGGTAAGTAGCTAAGTCACCATCCCTGGAGCTTTTTGAAAGATGTGTGGATGTGGTGCTTAGGGATATGGCTTAATGGTAGGCTTGGCAGTACTAGGTTAGTGGTTGGACTTGATGATCTTAGAGTTCTTTTCTAACCTAAATGATCCTATAAATGTTACGATCAATGTTACCTTGGAAGGAGTTTGCATCTTGAGGCTTCAGCCGATGAAATGCAGCTGGGGCTTTCTTTCTCCGATGATGTTATCAGCGACTGTGAAAACTTCTCCCAAGCTCCCAGGCAGTTGAAAGCCTGGATAATAATTTTGTTGTCTGTGAAGACAGAAATGTATGCAGTTAAACTCTAAAATGATTGTTTGAAAGTGCTGAAGATGCTATTAATAAAAAAAGAGACTTCGAAAACTGTATAAATCATGGGAACAGCTCTTCAGATGAATAATTTAGAATGCTTTAAAACCCCCTCTCTATACACTCAGCTGTTTCAACACTTCTGTGGCCAAACAGAAGCACAGTTGTATTTTCCACAGCAAGAGTCTCCTTTTTTAATCATCGCAGCCATCATAGAGCTGGAAGAGGAGGTGAGAGCCTACACTGATCCCAAGTCTCCCTGATGCCCTCAGCTGCTCTTGGGGCTGCCTGTGACCTCACCAAGGTTTTTAGCAGTTCCCAAACACATGAAGTTGGCAGCTTTTCTGTCTGAAAGCTGTTTCTCCACCTGTGTCCATCTGATGAGGTACTTCCCCCAGCATGGCAATCTGGGAAAAAAGAGAGAAGCAGAGCAAACTTTTGCTTGTGATAAATCACAGAATGGTTTGTGTTGGAAGGAACCTTTAAGATCACCTTGTTTCAACCCCCTGCTATAGGCAGGGACACCTCCCTCTAGAGCAGGTTGCTCACAGCCCCATCCAGCCTGGCCTTGAATGCCTGCAAGGAGGGAGCATCCATAGCCTTGCTGGGCAGTGTAACACACCATGACACAACCTCCATGTCTGTAACACACCACCATGTAACTGCTGCAAGACAGCACAATGCTGAGCAGTTCAGTGGCCCATGTAGGCAAACCAGTGCGGAACTTTTGGCAGATGCTGTTTATCGCAACACAGTGCTTAAAGTTCAGTGGCTTTTTGTTAATGCAAATACAGCATGTAATTACCCTTGGTCTCACAAAGAGATTTTGTCTTTCTTCCTCTCCTTAGTATGGCTTACACTTACTGGTCTAACTGTGATGGATGCTGCTCAAAATTTGGTAATAACGTCACCCCCAGCTCCTCATTTTATATAGGTGCAGTATATTTTCCTAAAAAACAGGTATTTTTGCTGCACAGAGTGGTTAGGAGTGCATGGACTGTAAAGGATTGCAGAAAGCAGCTGTCAACTTCAGAGTCACATTGTTTTAGAAAGCCAAATGTCAAAGCAGAATAGGCAGAATGTAAAACACCTGCTTAGTGTTTCCTGTTAGTGGGACTTGGTTTAGTATGAATATAGCGAATGTGTCAGTGATTTGTTGTTCTTAATACATTTTGTGCCCTATTTTTCCTTCTTTCAAGTACAAGTTTGGTCCTGTGACTTTGCATTTGCACTAATAGCTAAGTAATGTGTGTGCTAAAACTGTGTAACATTTTGAATTGGTAAGAAGGGTGGTAAAGCAATGGAGAGGTAAGGCACTGGGCGATGAGATAAATCTATCCGCGTGTCAGCGCAAGAGTAAGCAGATAAGCAGTAGATGCCCTCTGCTCTTCGTGATAAGAATTCTTTGCATGGCACCAAGTTTACAGTATTTGACTTTTGTTAGATCTGTTTGTGCAGCAGGAATTGGGTGATTAACACACTTCTGAGCCAGAAGAAGACTACATGTAGCTGCTAACCAGAACGTAAAGGAGGGGCTGCAGCACAGGCCATCAGCCAGCCATCAGCCTGCTCTGTGGCAGTCGCTACCCCAAAATGAGATTAATTAATCAAAAATTGATAGAAGTTACAGTGAGGGTGGAACAAAGTCAGAAGCTGACTTTTATTCCACTAACGCAACATGCAACCCCAGTAAAGCATTGCTTCTGGCGGACAGATTAGGATGAAATTGGTAAGCAAATGGTTTGAGCAGAGCTGGAGACGACAGAATTAAGCCTTTTCAGCCTGGGTGTCTGTTTTTTGCTGATTACCCAGAGGGACCTTTTCCCTGTGTTTGCTCAGCCAGATAAGACATGGAGAAATAGTTGTTTTGTCGCTTGCAGGGATGTATTGAAGAGCTGAGCTGAGTCACGGGGACTGAATGCAGTGTGAGATAGCAGGGCAGCACTGTGCACGTCGCAGTCACGAGGCTTCTGGACTGGCCTTGCTTTATTTGCACTGGCTTCTGGGCCCTGAGGAGATGGTGAGCAGTGAGGTTGTGCTGGGCGCTCACCCTGGCTTCTCACAGGGATTCCCTCCCTCTTCTTCCTCCCAACGCTCCCTTGTCTGAAAAAATAAACAGTTCAGCCCATGGATGCACCACAAATGGAAACCCAGTTTTGCATCAGGGTGGTTTTATGCTCTCTAAAGACTTGCAGAAGAATGTGAGCCACCATTAGGGAGCATTTTCACTTGCTCACAGCAGCACAGTGTCACAGCTCCATGGAACCGCAGCGGGATACACGCCAACGTAAAGAGGGGCGCTGCCTCTGCCACCAGCCACAGGGAGCTCCCTTGTCAGCCACAGCTGTGGGTCATCCTCACCAAATGACAAGCTGTTCCTCTGAGTTATCTTCAAAAATCTCTCTGTAATGAAACTCCTGTGATCAAATCACCTTTTGAGACCAATTTCCATGGGATTAGCAGCAATTTCTTTACTGTACATTCGTGCCTTCCCAAATAACTTAGAAAATTGAATTATTACTGTGATTACAGACTCACGTTGGTAGTACACTGCAGATTTCCCTGCTGAATTAAAGAAATCAAACATCCTTTAGGCTCCATTCCTTCCCTCCTGGGTGTCCATCTACTGACCACATCACTTCCAGAGCTCTTTTACCTGGGATTTTCAAAACGAAGCGATGTGCAAATTTGTAGAGCACTCACATGGCTCCTGATTTAATGCTCTCTGTGAAAGGCATGTGTTTGCATACACTAATCCTTCTTTCATTTCTTTTTTCAGACAGCTGAAATGTGACTATCCCAGCGCTGTAGTTCTTAGTACTGATGACTTCTTTTCTAGAAATGGTGTATATGTGTTTGACCCTGACTTCCTAGAGGATGCACACAAATGGAACCAGAAGAGAGGTGACTGAATTGACTGAAATGTTTTTTTTTTCAGCATAGTTTTTCTTTGTAGTGTGCCTTTAAGTTTAGCACCCAGAGAAGATATCTCAGAGTAGTGCCATACACCGAAGCTCCTAGTGTGCTGGTTAAGAAAACATTCACCACTTCTGAGTTATAACAGCATTAGAAATTGGAATTGATAATGGGTAAATGTTGGTGATGGTAGGTACTGTTTTTGGAAGCAAAACGGTGGCTAACAGACAGCAGTGCTGAAGTTTGGGCACAGCAGGGTGATGTGCTCATAGCAGCAGTGCAGCCACTCAGCACAGCTGTGTGCACAGCATTGCACAGACTGTATGTTCTCAGATGTCTGTCCTGAGCTGCGAGTGGGTTAACGAGGAATTCATGATAGCCAAAAGGAATACTTACAAACCTGATGACAGTTTGGGAATGCAATCACCACGGTTTCTATTTCAGAAAGAAAATGTAACATGTAAATACCCAGTGCTCAGACAGATACTCTAAATATGTTCTGTAAGAGTTTCAGATCCTGCTGCTCAGCTGCATCACCTCCACCAGGAAACACCTGCTGAGCTCTGCTTGGGTTTGGGGGAGATACAAACGCAATGTTTGGGAAGCCAGGTGTGCCGGGGTGGGCAAAGAAGGGGCACTACGGGGCTAGAAAGGCCTGACTCAGTCTGCTATTAATACATTTTAGCTTTACTTAATGTGTTACATTGCAGCACGCAAAGCAATGAAGAATGGGAAAAGCCCGGTTATTATTGATAATACCAACATCCATGCTTGGGAAATGAAGCCATATGTGATGATGGTAGGGAAAGCTATGATTTATTGCTTTTGTACGCTTAACCATGATATTTAAGAGGTGATCTAACTGAACAGTTCTTAACAAGGTTGAAAATAATTGCTTCCATTTTCCCTCAGTCCTCTAATTATAGTTAATAATTTATATTGTGGAGAAAGGGGTAAGGGGGTGTAGGTACTTATTTTATCTAGTCAGCTACGTTCCTCAGCGAAGGCATAATTATTGAAAAGATTAAAGGTTCTTTGAATTTGCCCTGTAACTTCCTGGCAATCAGAATGTCAGCAGGAACATGGATACAGTGGTTTCCAAACTGTGGAGTTTGAAACTGGCTGAACGTAAAAGTTAACATGTATATCAAGGTGACTTACAATTTTAGTTTAAGACTTGTGAAAAATACAGCCAGAAGAATCTTTGATAGTCCACTGATATCTGTTTGCAGCAGTTCTGGCAGTATTCTTAGTACTGTTTTATGATACAGCCTGGTAACATTATACTCACGCTTGAGCACAGCTATACGCTCTTTGGCTATGATCCTGTGATTTAAGAGGTTCGAGGCTGAGTATTGCTCTTATAGGAGCTCAGAAGAGGCAAGAATGCGTAGTGATGCTGGAAGTCCTGGGCGTGCTCCTCTAGCAGAAGCTGTGACTGCCTCTGGGTGACTGTGAAGCAAATGAGAGACCTCAGGTAGAGGGGAACAAGGTGTAGAAAGACCAGCAGGAGCCCCTGCCTCCTTTCTGCTACTCTGTAATGTCCTTAGGAGGCAGTGCTTATCCCCTTCAAACCAAAAGCAATCAATCTTGCCCGGGGAGGCTGTGGATGCCCCATCCCTGGAGGCATTCAAGGCCAGGCTGGATGTGGCTCTGGGCAGCCTGGTCTGCTGGTTGGCAACCCTGCACATAGCAGGGGATTGAAACTGGATGATCTTTGTGGTCTTTTTCAAGCCAGGCCGTTCTATGATTCTTTGAATAACTGTATTAACTACATATATGTATGTACATGTGTGTGTGTGTGTGTATGCTTTACCACCAAAAAAAAAAAAAAAAAAAAAAAAAAAAGTCTGAGCGTTGTAGCTTGAGTGCCTGGAAATAGCAAGGCACTCCCAGAAGCTCCAACATGTAGCTCTTGAAGTATCTGCGACTGCCAGAGCCAGGGCAGTCGTGGGGAGGGAGGCACTGTGGTCACTGCTGAGGCTGAGACAAGTTTTGCTGGGAGACCCAGATCCTTTGGGTAAGAAGGAACAGACGAGCTGGGAATCAGACAGACATCTTGGTGGGATCTGTGGCTCTCTTCTTTCTGCCTCCTGGGGATATATGAGACATCTCTTGACCAGATGAAAAATCTCAAGGGTGTGGAAGACTGGCTACTGCTGAGCGTGGCAGCCATAAATCTAAAACTTCTGTGTACTTCCTCAGGCACGTGAATATAGCTATGAAGTTATATTCCGAGAGCCAGCTACGCCCTGGAAGTTCAATGTTCGAGAACTGACCAGGTACATTTTTTCCCTTTGCTACAGCAGGCTGCTTCTCACTTCTGTGCTCTGAGGAAGGTCAGCACTCTTTCTCTTCATGCACCCTAAAACGTAACGCGGTAAATAACAACAGCGGGGTTGTAGTGCAAAATTTACAGAAGTAAATTGTGCTCTTTGCAGCTACATGGTAAAAAGGTGGCTCTTCAGAGTGTGCAGACAGCAGATGTCCCTGGCAGGCTTTGCAAAGACTGTTTCTGGTCCATCCTGACAACCCTGCATGTCTGAGCTGCTCCTCTCCTCCTGAGACTTCATGTATAAATCTGCCCTGGCGTCACCATGGCTAGCCTCTCCACCATAAGCAGTACATTTCACAGTGTTTCTCTTGCCAGTTCCTTACTTTTCTCTTGCTTGCTATGGAGTCAGCAACACTGCCTCCCCATCACTTCTGAGCCACAACAGGTAGGACTTCCCTGGGATGTGCACCTAGATAAGGCAACGACAGCTACAAGTCAGCATCTGGGCTCTCTCTCCAGTTGTGTGAAAGTTCATCCCAAGGCTAGCAAGCTGTTGGCAATAAACCCCAGCAACATTCACATAAAATAACATACGTGTTTTCTACATAACTCTTACTGGGACGTGTTTCAAAGCATTTGTCTATATTTTTATGTCCCGGCTGCCCACAGAAATGCTTGGCTACATTTTCTCAGCAGTCTTCAAAATGCCATTGAGAAGTTAGGTAGTGGTGGATTACAGTTTAGCAAAAATAAAAAAGAATGAAATAAAAACATAGAAATAGGTCATCAAGCCTATGGCCTGAACATAGCAGGAACCACAGCAAGTTTGAGATAACTTGTAATGCATTCTTTGTTCATGTTGACTCTACAGAAAAAATATCCATGATGTCCCTCGACAAAAGATACAACAGATGAAAGAACAATATGAGCATTATGTTACCTTCCACAGTGTTCTTCACTCTGAAAAACCAAGCAGAGAAGACCAGAGCTCCCCTGGACCAAATGCAGCCTATGGCCTGGGTGCCTGTGCCAACCCCCCTGCAGCCTTCTCAAGCAGAAGACCTCGCACGGCACATACAAACAACCTGGTGTTTTACTGAAGAGGTGCATTCCTCTGTGTGCTTTTGTTATCAGGGTGTAACAATCTCTAGTTTTACATTTTTTTTTCTAAACTATTTTATTCTTCTATTTTTCTACTACTTTTCTAAATGAGACTTTTATATCTGAAGTCATTAAGTGTCACTCCAATCTGAGTGATCCAAGACCACTGTCCCTTGCACAAACTGGACAACCTCATCTCTTCCTTTACTGCAATGCATTCATGCTCATGGCAAAATGTGTTACTGGCTGAGCCTCACATTTGTTTTTCCTTCATTGCTCTTTCACTTACAGATAACACCAAACATTCCTAGATTCTTACAGACTGTGTGGCCAATTCCTTCCCTGTGCAGTGGTCACCTCCTGCTATTCTACTACTTTATGATTTTATGCATCTTCCCACTCCTTGTCTGGAGCATTGCTTCTAGCTTTGAGAGAGGTACAAGCGCTAAGATACTAAGATTTGATCTTCCGCCTCTTTACATCTGCTGCCTGGAGTTATGCTGTTCTTACCTTAGCTCTAATGCACCCAAACAGCATCTCCAGCATCAAGGAGAAAAACACACCAAACTGTGCCTTTAATCTTGCAGAGAGTGGACTGCCAGAGGAAGCAATCCTGAAGGGAACACAGGTGTTAGGTGAGCACTCATTAAACTTTGAGAAGGAACAGCACTACAGAAACAGCTCTAAATAGCTGTAGCACAAGGCTACCAAGTACCTGACCTTGGAAGTACAAACTGCATTAAGTAACAACTTAAGAAAGGGCACAGAGGGAGAGCGGAAGGGAAAAGTGTTTCTAAGGGAGAAATTAACTCCTTCCACTATGAAGTGGCTGAATGAGAAGCAGAAGCCATCCTGCAAGAGTTTTATCTGTATTTTTAAACCCTACTCATATGTGCTTATCAAGAAGCCTCATGAAATGAGATGCTAAAACTCAGCTTTAGTGATGTCAGTTTTTTAAAGTAGGTACAGAACATCAGAAAGCAGTAATAGAGCAGGGTGGTAGCAAGCAAGCTGCTTTGCAGTAGGAAATGAAGGCAGCTCACCCTGGACAATAGGAGACACGGGGGTAGCTATGATTCATCTAGCAGTTCATGGTCAGAGAAGCATAAGGTGTAAAGGAACACATTATGCCTGTGTAAGAGCAAGGCTGCCTGTAGACTCTGTATCTATTACTAATACTTTTCTATGTCATTCTGCTATGAATCAAACTTCCATCATTACGGCTGCTTTCTAAAACCTTTTTAAGAACTATAAAGAAAGTTTTAAGGAAAAAGGTACAGAATTACGCCAGAATTGCAGAGGGATATTTCAGAATAAAACTGCTGTGATTGGTTACAATAAACTTGGAGAATTGTTAATTTTGCCTTGTTACTCCTGGCAGCCAAACAACCACTCTAATGCTATCGAGGATAAAAAAAACTGCTCAAGACTGAAACAAAGGCACTGCTGTAATTTAAGAATAAGTTAGAATCAAAGTAATAGGTTATAAAACCTTCAGCCACAGCGATGCTATTGTATGCTACATATTTGTGCCATTCAGCTCTAAATTATTTGCTTTGCAGATGAAAGGCATTTCATGAATTTTGTAATGTAACTTTATTACAATCAGGCTTTAATGTACAAAGTAAAAACATTTAAATCTGAAATACACACAGTACTGTACACGTGCACCTAGTGGCATTTGTGGGATCTGCGCCTTTGCAGCACCCTGCGGATTGATAATGAACCCTCACGTTCCTCTGTGTCCTTCTGGAGAGCATCAGCTCCTTCAGAGCTGCTTTTGAACGAACCTGTTTGCTTCCTTAGTAGATCTGGAACTATTTTTGAATGAAGTATCACCAGATGAATTAGCCTTCATATCACCAGATAAGTTTGAAGCCCTCGTACTGTCTTCATTTACACAATCCATCTTCTTTTCTTCTGGTACAGTATTTATGAGTGCTTGTGTATTAATCATTGCAAGTTCTTCATCAGCAACCAGGTCGTTATCAGAAAGCTGGATGGCTTCTCTCAGTTTTCTACCGGGGGTGACACAACCAGCATTTGGGTTTGTTTCTTTTGATAACTTGCTGTGCTGTGAGCCCAAACTTCGCGGAGGCCGAAAGGCCTTTTTTACAGATGGAGAAATGATGGAACAGATGGGTGTCAGTGATGGAGGGGCAGGTATGCAGCTAAGGAAGTCCATTGCTTTTCTCTTTTTGCTGTTTCTGGGATGGTTCTCATTACTTACAGCAGATGAAGGCGTTATTGCTGAGCCTTGTGGGAAAAGCTTTGTATTTGGTGTGCTAGCTGACAAGGGACTCGGATGCTTCATTTCAATTTTGGAAGAGATCTAGTTAAAAAGAAAAAAAATTCAGGTTGAATAAAAAAACAATTATCTTCCTCAATTACTTCCATACAACAGGGAAAAAACGGATACAAAAGTTGCTGTATAATTCATATCCGGGTTACCTTTGGTTTGATAACTTCTGAGAGTGACCGATGTTTTTTTTTCAACTGTTGATAGCTGGTGAGTTCATTTGCATGCACACTAAGACAGCACATTTGCACTATGTCTGAGATCAATGGAGAGGAATTTTGCTGTGCCAGATGGTAAGAATTCAAAGTGGTCACTATAAAATTGAGTTAACTGAGCATTCTGCACTGGAAATATCCTCTACAGGTTATAAATAGGGAAGAATGAAGAAAAAGGTTTGAAGGAAAAAGGGACAGAACACAGACCAAAAACCATGAAGATAATAGCACACACACACAGGATAGCTTCTACACAGCAAATCATTTAAACACGAGCATAGCTTAAAAACACCTTTAATGCTCATTTGTTTCAATTTGGCCAGTGTATTTAACAAACTGATGTATACCACTAAAGCTTCAGCATCAAACATTAGCACTTTCTCTGAACTGGAAAGGGATGCCTTACAAACTTACTTAGTCCTCATTTATTGACCTTTTATCACTGTGTTTCCACCTCCCTCACAACCAGTGAGAGGAAATATTTTTATTCTGACTGCACTCAGCACTGCACACGAGGAACAACCTGTCTCCAGCAGCCTTAAAAGAAGCTTAGTGTTTTACTCAGTTTTTGGTAGTGCTGCTGTGAAATGCAGACATTTGCAAAGTGATACCTCTTCCCTCTCAAGTCTATGAAATACCTACATCTATAGAGATATCTAGAAGAAAAGTCCTCTGAACAAGGGCACACATGGAAGAAAGATTTACAGATGAAGAATTTTCCTCCCAGTGATGTCACAGACTCACAGAATCAGTGAAGTTGGAAAAGACCTCTAAGATCATCCATTCCAGTCGCCCACCTACACCAACATTTCCCACTAAACCACGTCCATCAGTACAACATCTAAATGTTTCTTGAACACCTTCACAGATGGTGACTCTACCACCTCCCTGGGCAGCCTGTTCCAGTGCCTGACCACTCACTTGGAGATATGTCAGATAATCTTCACAATAGGACTGAGGAAGCAATAAACCATCCACAGGGAAAGGAGGATTCATTTTCCTCATGTAAAATTCAGAGTGTTTAAAATATGCTGTTGAAACACAGGCCATGAAGGGTATTTTCCATGTACTGCCTGTAGGAAGTCTAGTCTAGGGATTTCTTTTTGAGTAACAGTCCCAACCCACACAAGGGTTTCATTGCATCTGATCTGCTTGCATTGCTCTGAAGAGACCCTGTGGGGTGGTCTGAAAGTAGAGACCATCAGTAAAAAAACCTGCTTATATCCTTAGTGTACGTCATAGCAGTATAAAACCAAGACTAATTATGAGTAGCTTACCGAACTTTTATCCTCTGCATAAAGGCCTGAGTTGCAGGAAGGAGAAAAGCATTCCAAACCACATCTTTTAGGTAAAATGGGTGTAAGTGAGCAATTTCTCTGAAGCAAATTTGTCAATTTCCTTTCTGCATCAGAGCAAAAGGAGTCCACATTCTATAAAGCAGAACATATTACAGTGCATAACAGCTGTTTCTAAGATTATCTAAGTATTCCATGCTCACATACTAAATAGTCAGGCTTTGTTTTCTTGCTGTGCTCCCACCAGAAGTTTACTGTACATCCAATCAACAACTCAGAAGTCTGCTGCATTTTCCATGGAAGAAAATACACCTTCCTTTTACTGTTTGCAAGAAAAATATGTATGTAAAATTCTCTGTGCAATAAAGTGAGAATGCATGACCAAGATGATCTTTTTAGCACAGCTAAATTTGAAATTAAGAATAAATAAAATCAACAGTTCTTTGGTTGATACTGAATGCGTTCAACTAAGCATGACAGTAAATTTGAACTGTAAAAAGGCAAGAGTCCAACAGCCCATGACAGATTCCTTGTGGACAAGTGAAATGGGTTTGCTGGCCAGAGGATTCTGCAGCACATGCTTAAGGCAGTGGTGTTGAGCTGGGGCGGGGAGAGGGGAAATGAAACCAGTTAAGATATCCAATAGGTGATACAGAGAGTCCTCCAGGCAAAGTGCATTAACATCTTACTCCATCTCCAACAAAATCCCCCCTAATTCAACACGATGTGCACTACTTCAGTTTTATTAGTACCAACAGACTTCTTGGTGACAAACGTAACACCGCAATAGCTAGAATTAATCATTCAACTAAAAATCTGAAGGCTTACCTCTATCATCCCTCGCAGTTCATTAAACTTCTCTTGAAGATGGTTTTCCTTTGGGCTGGCTGAGAATGAAGAAAGATCTCCAGCCACTAGCACAGGAATTTCTGATCTGAATTCAGATTGCCACTGAAGGTTGCTTGCAGCAACGAACGAACAGCGGACAATGATATCTTCAATAGCAAAGTGCCTGAGATCTGCCCAGATCTTTACTGCCACAAGATTATAGCTTTCATCAGATAAATAAACCATGTTAGGGAATCCTGAAAGTAAGAAAAAAATAGAATTAAATTCTGAGCAAATAATGAAGACATTATTTTCTTTAGGAAAACAATTACCTGCCTGCATATTAGGGTGATGGGTTACCTGACCTGGTTTTAACAGAATTGAGATGCAGGTATAACACCAAGATAACTTTGATTATTTCAATAAAGAATCTAGTGCTTATTCAGTGATAACGTGCTTGGTCCACAACATACCTGTTCTGCTAACAGATATTACAACTCCAACTACATCAACTTCGGCACACGGTGGCTGATAAGAAGGATCCAACAAACTGGTGAATTTTAGAGCCTTTCTTGGAAAGAAAATCTGCAGCAGCATCTTCTGCGAGACCTGAAATAAACCCTCATACTGTTACACAGACTGCAGTGCTTCCTGACTGACAATAGGGCTGACAACAGCAGGACTAGGGGAAATGGATCCAAGTTGAGGAGGGAAGATTTAGGTTGGATGTTAGGGGGAAGTTCTTTACAAGGAGAGTGGTTAGGCCCTGGAACGGGCTGCCCAGGGAGGTTGTGGATGCCCCGTCCTTGGATGTGTTCAAGGCCAGGTTGGACGGGGTCCTGGGCAACCTGATCTGAATGTGTGTGTTTGGTGGCCCTGCTAGGCAGGGGGGTTGGAACTACATGATCCTTGAGGTCCCTTCCAACCCGGGTGATTCTGTGATTCTGTGATTCTGATGATACATCTTTATGCAACTAAAGCACTTACTGATAGTTGTAGATACTGAGTTTTCTTTGTTGCTGATAACTGTACATTAGTTGAGTCTGATCTTCCTTTGGACTGTGATGTTGACAGCTGGTAGATTCTGTACCGACTGCCTTCCTTCAGCAGTGAACACACATCTAGCAGTGGACGCCAGATACTCAGGATCACTCCTAATAATGCCAGATTAGGATTTAGGTGTGCAATATTAATATAAAGGCTTTTAAACAAAACTGGAAACTGCAACATGCAAGCTAGAACACTCAAGTCTGCCTGTTATGTTGGCCAGTTTCCTGTACAGATAAATTATAAATAAAGCTTATTTATAATTTTCCAAGTACTAACCTCTATGTTTTTCTTGCTTTCTATAGTCTACTACAAGTAATTTCCATACAGCAGACACATCTCTTTTGGAACAACCATGTTTTTCCTGTTCTGCAGACTCTACAGCCTTCTTGAATTCTTCCTGTATCCGAGTTTGTTTTTTATCGTTCATCAGCTGCTTGTGAGCATTCAGAGCTTTTAACTGATCCTCACTGAGATACCCCTGTAACCAAGAGAAAATGTATTGTCTTTTTTTTTTTTTTTTAATACAAGAAAATCCAACTGATACACTACTGGGACTTTAAATGCTGTATTGTTAACACAACTTGGGTCACCAATCTTGACTGGTACTTGGCTGATGCTCAGTTGTCTTTGCATTACATTATATACTCTTGTTATGTAGTAATTAGTGACAA